TTTTTTTTGAGACTAGAGAATTAGGAGTGGTATCACGACAGTCACCTGTGGTGAAAGGAACGTCATTGGCCATCGGCCTTTGCGTGCAATGTTATAGCGATCTGCTAAAGCTCCTGCAAGTGCATAAAAAAGCTAGCAAAAATTTTACTAAGTTAAAATTTTTTTCTAACAATGATATTCTGCTTTTAAATAATATCACTTAGTAACTTCTCATTCATTAACGTGATCTATAAACAGAAACAATAGCAAAAAACACCTACCGAGAGCACCAAACACCCAACAGCTGCCACAGTAAACAGGAATGTGTTGATTCCGAGTCGGACTACAGTAATTAATGCTGTTGACACTACGCCAGTCCCAACTTCTTGGGAGGTTTTTTTCAAACCCTCGTTTTTCCCAAGGCCGTAACGTAGTTCTTAAGATAAAAAAAACCTCATTACAATTTCATCCAACTCGTTAAACACAAAAAACACTAAGAATCAACTCAGACGGAAGAGGTTAAACGCCCAAAAGGAAGGCGATAAATTCAAGCCAATCATACTAGGCTGACTTACTACCCTTTCTGGGAGTATAGACCAGTTATTTAAGTTTACTTCTAAGAAAATATAGTTTTATTAAAACAAAATCAAACATAAATAATTTTGAAGTTGCTTTAAAGAAGAAAAGAGCTCTCTTAGCTTACAATTTCTGGTTTCAGTTTTGGTCGTTTAGGAAGTACGATAAACGGTTCGCGAGCATACACTTTTGGGAAATAGTTGAATGGTGTGTAGCCAGAAAATTACTGACCAAAATTTATAAGCACCATTTTGTATACTAATCAGCTAGACCGTATATACTTTTATTCTGTGTGATCGTGATCAGCACTGTTTAAGCGCTAGTGAATATTCCTCAGCATCACGAGCTCATAGAGCATAAATAATCGAGGGGAAAGTGGAAAGATAAGATGGAATTAATTCGATCCTAAACCCAGCTCAGAAAAAGTCTTTTTATATAATGAACTGTTCGAAACAGTAACTCACTTCTGAAACAGATAGTGTTTTGGAAGAGTTATTTCAAAAATGCAATTAATTTATTACATCTGTACTTAGAAGTCAATATAATTACTGAATTCATTTTTTAAAAGTATAAGTAAAACTTATATATAAATAAAAATAAAAGATTATTATTATTATTATTATTATTATTATTGACAAACAATGATTAATCACGTATCTTTTTTGAAAAAAACACTACTTTCTAGCACAAAAACTCATAAACCAACCCAGAACAGCCACTATAATTAGTACCATTTTCCGTTAAAACCTGTATATTTGTGTAAGACAGCACTTAAGAGTCAAGAATATTCAACAAAGTGCAGTTTGACAAATCACGTTTTTTTTCTCCTGATTTATCAATTAATAAGGTTTTTTACCTAGAGATAGACAGTAATAACTTTATAACTGACAAATTACAGTGTACTTTTTAAAGCTGTTAAAATAAAATTTATAAAACTAAAATACTACAAACAGTGCTTACCTGTATTCATAAACTCTTTTACTCTTACGGAAACATGGTGCTCTTAGGTATCTTCTATGTGTTGAATGTGCCTAAAATGAACAACTTCACTGTATTATTTCAAAGTAAAAATTTCTGTATCCTTTTGGTAAAAAGTTGTATATAAAGTACAAAAGCAATAAAAGTGGCATTTCATTTTAATACCAAAACAGTAAGAGGCTGCTTAAAAATTATTTTTTCAATTAAACTGCCTTTTATGCATTTTAGTTAGCAAAGGTAATTATAAGCAGGTGAAATATAAATGACTAAAAGAAGAACAAGTGAATTTTATTGTTATTTCCTATTACTTTTTTTTTTCTTTACCAACCTCAAAATATCTTTAAATTATTTTTTTATTAGGACACGAAAGCTAATATTCTTGTCACTCTTTGTTTCCCTTACCAGGAAGACGGTTAGTGTACTTCAGCAAAGTGAAATATTAACTGAGCATTTTACATTGCGCGTCAAAGAACTGTTCGCTCATTACAAAAATAAAGATGAATTGTCAAAAAAGAATTTTTTTCTAGTAAACAATTTCATTTCTTTTGTCAGAAACTGAGAACAGCAGCTAAGATTAATGCGTGGATGACGACACTGATATATAATGACAAGTTAAAGCTTCATACAAAATACTTAGACGACACCTTATGCAATAAAGAAGAAGAGTGAGCTAAGCATTTCTTAACTGAATAACTCCCGGTAAAAGCAATGCGTTCAGCTTGAAAAGTTTTAAATGTTTTTCGCCAGTTTATTTTTCATCTTCTTTCTTCAAGCCTCTTACCGGAATTAAATTTCATTTTTATAGTAGTCAACAAAGAGAGCTATCATCTAACAGTAACGCATCTTCATTCTGCTTCAGCAATAGCAGCCTTCTAAATTTTCTGCCACTTCTCTATTCCTCAGAAGCATTTTCTTGCAGTAGCAGATTAGCTGGCAGAAGCGATAGGGTAAGGTAGATTACCTCACAACTGTTATATCTAAAGACGACTATTAACATTTATCGATAACAGTCTACTTCAATCATCTTGGTACAAGGTAGGTTATCTGTTGCAAAAAAAACTTGTCTTTGATCTATGCAAGAAAAATTTTCTTTGATTTGGTTTTCCAATAAAAAGATAAAAAATGCTTGTTTTTAAGAGTAATCTTTAAAATGCAGAAATTCATAACAAAAGAAAAAAAGCAAATTTTCTTATTAAAAAAAAAGACAACAAACAAAACTAAACTTTGTCGTTTCTAGATGTCTTTGTTTTTGCAAGTAAAAAAAGTGTCTTGAACTTCTCTCTGCTAAGGTAAGAAAGCTAAGCTATCCCAATATTTAAACATATTTAAAAAATAAGTGTAGCACTTTTTGAACTTTATACCTATTAGTTTCCGCTTTACAATGATAAAAGTAGCATCACAGTTATGACGTTTCAGTAATTTTTGTACCATAACTTCACTTCAAATAAAATTATGACTATTCCAAACAAAAGACAAAAAAGTTATTAATAACATACCAACCTATCAAAAAATAGGCTTTCTTTTCTGATTGCACTTAGGAATGCCATTTCCTACGACACTATCATATACAGTGGCAAGCTAGTTGCGTTTGTTCTCAATGCAGATAAAAATTAACGGCAGTAAATGAATACTTTCACAAAATTTTTTTTTGAAAAAGAGCTGAACAGTCACATTCAAATATTCTTGTCAATACTAATCTAAAACTTCTAGTCAACAAAACCTTTCTTCGTTAACTCATTTGCTTAATTGTTGGCTTGACACTATAGTATTTTATTTAGACTACAAGTATGTAATTGTAACAAGAAAGCAATTACCTGCTTTTCAGATCCACAATTTTGAGTTTTCGGTCGATGCAATTCACGATCAAACTGTTTTGTTTTTACTAGAACATTCTGAACTTGTAACTCAACAGTAGTCAGGCAACAACTATACTTAAACATATATAAATAGCTGAGTTTAATTAATTTGCTCCAATTTCTTATGTCAGTTGAAAAATTCACATTTTAAGAAGGAAAAAATTACTGTAAAAATAATCTGATGCAGCTGTTTGCTACGCTCTATTGAGCAAAATTTTTTTAATAATTGCTGCACCACATATAAAACTAGGTTGAAAAAAGCTCTATAAAAATCTTTTGAAATTAATAATTACGTTTGAAAACATTTGTAAAATGAGTTTTCTCAGCTTTTGGAGAGAGGTATTTTGAGAAAAACTTTAGTTTTTGCTGCTCTCAGTACTTGGTCAAGTCCGTAAATTGAAGGACCGCTATACAATACTTCCCTCTAGTACTCTAAGTATCTAATACTAATTAATGTACATTAACAGTGAAAACAGCAAATGCCTACAATGGTGAGGTGCAAGCGACTGAAGAATGTAATTTGTCCCTTTAAAATTTTCAGTAGGTGCATCATACTGGCGTGAAGAATTGTCATTTTTAGGAGGGTTTAAATAGACAAGAGCACGTATTTTTGACGACTTGCTGAGAGTTTCATGATACTGAACTTTTTTAGTAAAGGTTTTCTAAAAATTAAAAAAGTCTTCACTTTTGAATACAGCTAACAAGCTATTTTATAAAACGTATCACTGTTTTGGTTTCTTGAAGAGAAATAGAAAATTTTTAACAGTATACATAAATAAACTTGCAATAGATGCTTACTTCTTCAAAGCACGTTGAAATTGTAAGATATGAAACGGCGTATAAAAACAGCAAGTTGCTAGTCATTTCTAACAACGGCAGAAATATTTCTTCTTTATTCAAACTACCAGTAAAAACAGTTTTTTGTAGCATACTTATCATTTGCTGAGCTTGCAAATAAATTTTTTTTTGACTAGATTGTATCAATATTACAAAGAAACCAAAAAAGTTCTTTTGCTTTTTATTTACTTCACTATCAAGTCAACCGTCAAAAAATGCTCTTGTTGACTGATAAAACATATAAATACTTTACTGAACATTTGAACACATTTTCTACTATTGGTTGTTAATGTTGTTATACTTGTTAATTCGTACTGTAACTGGTAATTACGTTTTTTCGAATATTTCTTTGCAATAAAGGTTTAATTACCCAAGTTTAAAATATACTCACGCTCTTACGCATTTGACGTTCGTCACAACGATACGATTTATTAGCAGAAATAAAGAAAAGTTATCCCTTCTATTTTTCTGTTACAAGCATAATGAATTATGGCAAACTCAGTTTCATTAAAGTGGAGATCTTATTCACCACGTGAACTTGGAAGCTTGTGAAGTAAGCCTGCAGTCACCTCACCGGCACAAAATTTCTTCTGCTGACAAGTAATGTGGAATTCTCAAGGTGACTCTTGAGCAATGCGGAATACTGTTGACACAGCCGTTTTCTACTTACTTCTAAACCTTGCAGTTTTCTTTTATCAGTTCAAACAGCTGCTTGTGTCTTCTGCGACAATCTTATGTTTGGTGCAGCCCTAAGTGTCCGTTATTTTCGTCCTGGTACGACATCTAACATTTTTAGACAGTCTAGCACCTCGAAAATGAGCAATTATTCAATTAGAGACGATCGTTTACATGAAGAAAATTTATTCTTGCCTCTTACATGAAAATAATTGTATTATCTGTAAAAAAAAAATCTTCATTGAAAAACCTCTCCATAGCTTCTAATTTTATTTCAGCTACATTTAACAGCTATTTGCTTTTTCAAGAACTCAAAAGCTTCTAAGAAGTGCTATGTTCTTTTTTCATTTTTATACGTCATCAAAAATCCAAAATCTGACCAAATTATCTGTTATGGAAATTTGATTTCTTTTTTAAATCAAATTCTTTTAAATTCTAATTTCTCCACTGTCTGAATGCTTGATTAAAATGAAGCACTGGCAACGAACAGAAGCGTTGATCTCTGGTATTAAAAAATTTCAGTGTTTTAAT